CCCCCCCCCCCCCTTTAGAATTGCGCAACGCTGGCCTGACCCTCGCCCCCTCTCATTTTCAAAAAAATTAAGAAAACGCTGAGAATACAGTTGGAAAAAATGTGGGGTTTTTTTTGGAGATATTGTGCGAAAGTACGACGGGAGGAGATTAACAAAGGTGTGAAAATACATTATTGAATTTGTTTTATTCATAATTTTACCGGGAACGTGCACTTGGACAATTATTTTGAATAGTTACCCATTTCAAAAATTATATTGAAAAGCTTCATCTGGGAAAGACTCACCTTGACTAAGGAGATAGACTAAGGAGGTAAGTCATGGACTAACTATAGGGTCTTTCATGGGTTGCCGTTAGTTAGTCTATTACTTGCCTTCTTTGTCCATTGCAACCAACCACTTCTACCGATAGGATCCCTTCATATACCTTTGTCCATCAATTTCAACAATCAGCCCGCTGATAGTGAAAACTGGAAATTTTTCGATCGTATCCACAATGCATTATATTTGGATTATCTTCAAGAAAGTCTCAATGACGAACGACTGTGAATACGGTCCTCATTATCAATCGATAGGTAGGAAGATTTTTTCGATTTTTTTCTCCGTATTATGTTTCATGACTCATTTTGGCATAGAGTTTTGACTTGAGCTACCCTCGCACACAATAGGAAACAGAATTTTAAAAATAGACAGCCATCAAAATTAATGGGCTCCTTATCAGGCGGCTAAATTTAGGGGATGCGACGGTGCGGCGGTCAACGGCGTAACGATGGTCAGAAAAGAGACGATTTCGACTGGAGGCCACACGGCCGCTAGTTGACGGCAATTATCACCCAATTACTCGGCTGCCAACCGAGAACAAAAAAAAATTTACCAGGTGCTTTTGTTCCCGAACCTCGGCTATCGATGCTTAGAGCAATGGCCATGTTGCCACGTTCCCGCTTGGAAACATTCTTAACTATGGGTATTACTGGGTATATTTGGATTGCATTTTGCAAAGTGGAACCGCGTGCGTTCCGATGACGCTAAGATTGTGTAACATGTTTTACCTTGCAAATACAGGGTGATCCAGGGTTAAACGGCCAGACTGCAGGAGCCCAAACACCCCAAACCCCCTCTTTCAATGGAGATGTGTGAGGAATTTGCGATTTGACTATCGATTTTAACGTAAAAGTTCGCGAGAAACACGATGGTGCCACTGGTTTTTCTCTGAAATCAACTCCCAAGCTCATAAAAAGCTTTCAAGTTGAGGCCAAAATGGAGGGGATATCCCACGCTACCCTGAGAGTCCACCTCTGCATCAAGACAAACTCTCCATTCAAAGATAGGGAGCAAATACATTGACAGGGCTGCCACTTTATTTGGGTACTCTAAAACTGAAAACACGGCATCACTGCTAATGTATTTACTCCCTATCTTTGCATGGAGAGTTTGTCTTGATGTAGAGGTGGACTTTCAGGATAGCGTGGGATATCTCCTCCATTTTGGCCTCAACTTGAGAGCTTTTTATGAGCTTGGGAGTTGATTTCAGAGAAAACCAGTGGCACCATCGTGTTTCTCGCAAACTTTTACATAAGAATCAATAGTCAAATCGCAAATCCCTCACACATGCAAACATCTCCATTCTACCTATTTAAGAATGGCTCCAAAGCTCAGAGCAACTTTGTTCTTAAGACTACCTCTGCTGAAGGAGAGTCAGCAAAAGCGCGATAAAAAACGTTTTGACGTCATATATTATAACAATTTTAGAATGCTTGTCTAATTGCTAGTTAATTCGTGGTAATAATACTATGTACCTTCAGCTGTTAACAACTCACCGTATTTTCCCTCGGAAATTTGACATCATTTGTAACAACTGCTCAGTATTCATCACTAGTCTTTGACAATTTGCCATGTACTCATTGCTATGCAGTTACTCCGTCTTTGAACTATTGAAGAATTGTCAAATTCGCACATCTTTTTGAATGATGTCACGCTATTCTTTTCGATCTCTATTACTGCTTGACTATTTAGCGACGCATTGGACTTTTGACCAAAATTTAAGTTATTGGTATTTTTTGTCCTATGCCTCGTAAGTTTTCCTCTGCACTCCCTGGTAAAAATTGGCGATAAGAGCTGCGTTTCAAAATACCATAAGAATTCTTATAGCCGGCTAAAAAGGCTACAGAGAATCATACAGCTGGCTGTAGAATGCGGAGAAAATCATACGGCCGGGCTATACGAAGCGATAAAAAATAATGCAGCCGGGCTATATTTCCTATCGCCGGGTTTTACACTTTATCGCCTGGCTGTTGCTTTTTCGCCATCGATTATAAAAGGCTATGAGAAATTGTGTAGAAATTCGTGTGCTTTGGAAATCATTAAGTTTGATACGGAGCCACCTTAATATTTACAAAACACACATTATATTTTCCTTTAATACATATTTTTTTTCATCAGTTAAAATGAGAATAATCCATACAGGATGTGCAAACATTTCAAAATCATGAGTTGAATAACGCTGAATCCGCCAGATTAAATATTAGAGCCTAACACAAAGCGGAGCGGCGACGCACTGGCGCCTACAAACCGAACAGGGATACTTCACGCATTGCGCAACGCGTAAAGTATCCATGTTAGGTTTGTAGGCGCCAATGCGTGTTTCGCGCTGGCTGCTCGTCTGCCACGGCGCTTGAAGCAACTATTTCACATCAGAGGTATTGCACAGTATCACACGAAACTGAAGGCGCTCTAATATATTAGTAATGGCAGGCATCCATCAAAAGTACGGAGCTTTCCTCGTAAAATAAATCAAGATACTACGGCCCAAAAAGAGAGCAGTATTCCAAAAACTCACTAAGTCCTAGCATCCGTAATTAGTAACGTTTAGCATACGCACGTTGTCGCCTGGCTGTTGCTTAATCGCCATCGGCTATAAAAGGCTATACTTAAGAAATTGTGTAGCCGGCTATAGAAGCTATTGGAAATCTTACAGCCGGCTGTAGGTCTACGGTATTTTGGAACACAGATTCTACTGCCAATTTTTACCAGGGCCTAATACTTATAATGCAAAATGTATTATCTGAAGGTGAGAGAATTAATGAACAATTTTCCTCAAAAGAATTAGCCTTACAGCATTGTAGTTCTTAAGAAAAAAAAACAATGATTGAGGA